TTTCCAGAGTAAAATAAAGATCCAAGTTCGGCCACCTGTAGCTGAGCTTGACCAACAGATTTCGTTCATAATTGGCACCCTTGCAGATAGGCATCCATTGAGCAAGGTGTGCAAGTTTCATGCAAATCCCTTGATAACAAACGAGAAAAAAAAATTGGCCAAAAAAAAAATACAAATAAAAAAAAAAAATTTAAATATAAATATATTGAACATACATATTACAATTATTACAAGAGTTTGTGCTTCTACAGCACATAGTAGACATTTTAGTTGACACATGTGTTCCCTGAGATTATTTGAGAATGTTGAACATTCGTTGCATAATACGTTGTGTATTTTTTTTCTCCTTTTCTGTTTAGGGTGTGATGGTGAAACTTGGACCAGTTGCAGCCCTTTCTATAACCATTTCATAAAAAAATTTATAAGCAAATTGAACAATTTTAATTTATAACGATATTTTTCGATATGCCCCCTTAATACATCCTCAACTTTAGATGAAAAATTTAGTTTATTAAATCAGTCTCTATGTATAGTCAACTGTAATTGAATTGTGAGTACAGACTAGGCTAGTACTCAGTTGACACTAACTTAAGTCCCTAATACCTACCTAAATAGATGGTTTAACTTTCTAACCTACCTAAGTAGACGACTAAGCTAATTGTGATAACTCACTAATTCTTAGTAGAGTTACTCTAGCTAAATTGTAAGCTATAATAATTCAAGGTTAACATGGTGAGCTATATTGAGCTCGTTAACACGGGTGAGCTATATTGAGCTCGTTAACAGGGTGAGCTATATTGAGCTCGTTAACAGGGTGAGCTATATTGAGCTCGTTAACAGATTGAGCTATATTGAGCTCGTTAACAGGATGAGCTATATTGAGCTCGTTAACAGATTGAGCTATATTAAGCTCGTTAATAAGGTGAGCTATATTGAGCTCGAATTAATGAGGTGGAACATTGTAGCGCTCGGTTTTCATGGCGAGCAGTGCTCGTATTAGCATAGGGGAACAATAAAGCGCTCAATTATTACGTTAATTCACAGGTGAGCTGTAAGGTCAGCTCGGGTTATTAGTGCAAGAGCCTTCCTGAAGGATAGCTAAGCACGGAATCTATGCCGATTCATGGTGAGCAGTGCTCGAATTAGCGCGGGGAGCATTGTAGCATTCAATTATCATGGCGAGCAGTGCTCGTATTAACATGGGGAACATTAAAGCGCTCAATTGTTACGCTAACTCAGGGTTGAGCTATATTGAGCTCATTAAGCATGTTAAGTAACAATGCTTATGGTTTAATGGTAATGCATTAAACGATGAGAAACCTAAGGTTGCTGGAAATTTAATTACTGCTACGATTAATCCTATTTAAAGAAAATTTGTAACATTTTCCCAAACTAAATGTTTCACGGGTTATTAGTTCTCTGTAGACTCACTTACATATTGGTAAGTTTGCAAGTTTGTTCGTGCTGCGCTCCTACAGTAATAAGCAGAAACTAAATTAAACAGCTCAAACAAAAATTAATGCATATATTTTTCACTATCTCTTAGTGCAGAAAACGTTGAATTTTCATCACCACTCTTTCCCTGGCAGTGGTTGGTAACCAAATATTTCTTCCTGCTTGATCTGTAACACATCGAAGATCGTCGTGGATACAAGGTCGGGATCAGCATGACAACTAAACTTGAGTCCTATGGACTCCTTCCGCTTTAGTGGAGGTGTGTAGGAGCCCATGACGGCACATATACCACCCCCAGCGTGACGTTATCCGTTACTGCGTTACTGCGTGTTGACGCCCATCCGTCAACACGCAGACCAACAGCGACGACAAACACATCCACCCACCAGCAAAATTTTGTCTAAAGTGTGGTATTTGTCTCACAGCTTTCCCATAGACAAGAAAAGTGCTATAGAGATTGACAAAACTATTTTTAGATATGTATGGTGTTGGGGTTTCACCTCTCTTTTATTCTCTACCCTTACTCTGGGGTGAGCAATAGTTATGCTCAAGGTAACTCACCGTAGCCCTGCGGGTCTTCCCTCGATCCTCACGGCGCCACTGCACGCCAGGAGAGTCTCCCAGTCAATCTTAACGGCCTCTTATTAAGAAAGAGTGAGAACACGACTCGTTCACATCGACTGTCGTGTGCCCTCCTCAACAATAGGGCTCTACGGTTATCCACAAGATCGCCAACTGGTGTTTTTAGGTGGCCAGTAACACCATCAGTGGACTGGTGTATTTAGTGGTAGCCTTGGCAAGGTCACACTCAAAGTTCAGGAATCAGGCAGGTACTTATTGTTATCACTCTATGTTTACCAGTATAATATAGCCACAAGATCAATGGAGGGGATGATAAAAACACAAAGAGAGTTTTGTATTTTACTTAAAATGTATGAAAGATATCACAAGGCCCCACAATAATCGATAAATCAACTGATCCTGACTCGGCCGGTAATTCCCACGGATATTATGCGATCACTAGAGGGCAACACTCTCCCCTCCTCATCAAGTGTCAAGAACAGCTGATCGCAATGGCCTCTCCGCGCGAACTTGGCTTGTTTCCTAGATTCACGCGCGCTGTTTCTTTAAACTTTCCAATATTACTAGAAACTCGCACACTCGATATTTGCTAAATAAACCGTATTACTCAGTTACACTGTACTCAGGCTCAAACAGTCTTTTCTACAATCAATGCTATAATGATTCACTGTAATGGCTTTACATTGTTCTTCACTCAACCATATATATTATGAACTATTAACACTGGAGTTTTCAGTACTTTCTCTCGTGGGCGATAACGCAATAATTCACTGTACTCACAAATGATTATTCACTGAATGAACATAGACATATATATGGTATATAAATCAATCATCAATACATGGAAAATAAATAGTTTCTGGGCACATAGCCTAACCTCCACATACTGGCATAATCTTATATATAATTTACCACTATATGTTCATATCAAAATCTATAGAAAGATATACACAACACAGTAAATTTATCACTGGTTCCTGGTGCCTGTACACACCAATAATCAACATGAATATTACAAGTACTCTTGATAGTACTGTCTAGCACACTGGTGCTTTATCGTGACATGGGTGAGACTTACTCACGACATATAAAATCCTCAGGCTAGAAAATATAGCCAAATAACATAGCTAACAAAAGGGGAATGGAGAGGGAACTAGAACCACCTACTTCACCCTATCCTCCGATGAGAGTCGAGATGTAGCTCCTGGTCCTCGTGTCGGGAACGCCCCCACACTACACGTCGTCGTGTCCTACCAGAGCCTCTCGTCGTCCCACCGTTTAGCGCGTCGTCTCCGTGCCTCCTCACTGCAGGTCCGTCCTCCTTCTTAACTTCTTGAAGGTTGGAGTCGGTCTCCTGGCCGTCGTCTTCTCCCAGCAACAGCTGTCGCCTACGTCTCAGCTACAGTCGTCCGGTTTCCCCAAATAGTCCTCTCTTCCTCAGCTACCCAGTGGCTCTGTCTGCCACTACGCTGTCGCGAACTGGTGAATTGCCATAGACGCCACATACGTCACTGCACGGCTTCACTGCTACTGGCACAGTACCTGACTGGAGCACTTGTTGCTCAAATAACCGTCAATTCCCTCTTCTGGTTCAACACATGAACTCGGGAAGACTTCTCAGAGTACTGGCGGACTTCAGGTGACGCGTAAATCCACGGGAGCTGGAATAACTGTCCGACTGACAGGACCACTCGTCGCACGTCCGACCTCTATGACGTGTCGTGTCTGACTGCTGGCGCCAGCTCGGCGCGCGGACTGGACCCCCTTCCTTTGAGACGTCACTTTCGCTATGGGAAGTTATCATTGGCTCCCGGTGCCACATTGCTGTCGGTGACCAATCCGGTGCCACTGACGTCACACGGTTTTTTGGCGGGAGATCAGGGAAGCCAGCGCCATCTTGGCTCCCTAAAGGGCCTAAACCACAGGCCAAAATATTACTATTTCACGAATTTCTCGGCTCTCCGAGAACACTTCACTCTCTCCCATATATCAAATTGTAGCCTGCAACGTAGAGAATGCTCAGGAAAAGTAGACATGACTCTTACTGCAGGCGTGGGAGAATTATAAGGGGGAGAACTCCGTCACAATGGTAAGGTAGATACCAACCAATTAAACGAACTACCCTATGTAAAGGTAAGAAAAACGGTGGAATAGGAATACTGAATGTGTACCATAAGTCATTGGCAACTTTATGTGTTACCTTTAGAAAGGAGATAATGCCGAGGAATAGTGTAAATGCACTAGGACATTACTATTGTAAATTACGTGTTAGCTACTTGATACATATGCCAGAGTATACTGACCTTGCCTTTATTTCACCTCACTTTTATTCATGTGCAATTGATGTTCTCAGGCGGATTTGTAATATTGAAGTTTTTTTTAATGATGAACAGTAAACAAGTGTATGATGTTATACTGCCAAATATAGTTCCTAGAATAGAGGAGGCATATCCACTCTTTAGCTAGCAAGTAATTTGGGCGAACCTTCATGTTAAATTTATTGCCCCAAAACAACGTGAGTTATTGTATCGCTATATTCATGAGACCCTTCCTACTAATGATAGGTTGTTCATGTTGGGCATTAAGGACAACAATAGGTGTGACCAATGTACTGAAATTGAAAATAATATGCATATATTTTATTTCTGTAAGCAGAAAGTTGTTCTTGTAAACTGGATTAGAGACACTGTTAAAGCTTTATGTGGACCAAGTATTAGAGTGGAGTTAATGAGGTTTTTAATGTTTCATATTGACATTAAATGCAAGAAAATTAGGAATACAATAATTATGTTACTTTCTGATTACATTTTTTGTGTGTGGATAGGCAGACAGGAAAGTTACTCAGTAGACAAAATATTGAAGTTCTTGCGAGGCAGGATCAGGTATAACATTTGGGGTTTACGGCTCATGTTCGGTGATGATATGGAAAATTTGTTTACTGAAAATTATATAAAATATATATAAATGTAATAATTTCCCCTGTATTTTAATGTAAATTTCTTCTCCAATTTTTGTAAATCGTTTATAGGTTTGATGAAATAGTCCACGAGTGGTGATCTTGATCCCTCTATTCTTTACTTGCAGTTGGGCAGTTGGCAAGGTTGCATCCACTTGAGATTGAAATTACGCTGTACACATCTCGCACCTTTTAGCACTGTACATGTGTAGATTCTCTACCTCCTATTCTAGGATTAATATAATTTGTTTTGACAAATTCGCACAGTGCAGCATGATGCTTGCCCCTTCTACACTTATTGCAGGTGTTCAGTGGGGTGTCACAGCTGTTAACATTATGTGATATGAGACACCTAGTACATTTGTGTAATTGTTTGAGTCGCCTGATTCGTGTGTCTCTATTGGGGTAATTAGTACATTTGTAGTGTTACGTCTCTTGACCTCTGGGTATAGTTCCTCCGTTGCCGTGGTTATAAAATATATAATAATACGGCCTTGCCTACTTAATTAAGTGTCTAGGGTAAATGAATCCGCTGCTTATTTAACAAAGCAATATACTTAAAGTAAGGGTAACAAGAACATACAAATATATAAATGGAACTACAGGCAGCCAGAAATATTAATGCATCAGAATACAACACAATATCATTATACAAGCACTGATCAATATTTTAAAACTTAAATGGTTAGATGGGTATGCACATAATGGTCTAACCAGAAAATTAACTGTTACTGAACAATAACAGGGACCACAGACTTAACTCCCAACACGACCACGCCAGCCAACTCCACCCACACGACTGCGTTGCTCGAGCATGGACGGCGTGGCGTCTAGACGTTACCAACTATAAAGCCCACATGAAACCTCTAGATTTATGTTCATTAGTATCATAAATTCTGTTCTTTAGGAACATAATTATGTTCTTTAGTAACACTAAAGAACATAATTATAACTAACTTATATGCCTATAACATCCCAAATATGGTCATCCCGCCATTAGACGCCACTGTCTCCCACACAGGAATGAACATGCAATAGCATTAACAAATATCCAATACAGGCACACTACAGCATGCTACATTTAAATCAAACATATATATACTGGAACATAAATTGATACAAGTTTTTATTTAAATAACTGAGGAAAGAAAATAATTGACAAACATATTTATCATGATGAATGTTAGAATCAAATATATGGATTCGTAACATCCCTCGCTGTCCTTAAAGAAAAATGAAATTAACTGAAGGTTAATTTCATTTTTTTGAATAGCATTGGGTATAGGATATAGCATTGAGTACTCCAACAACACAAAATCAATGTATAAAACAATCAATTAAATGAAATATATGAAATAACCAAAAAGGTAAAGACATCCTCATGTATAAAACAATTCACATTAGGGCACTACAATGGGGAATCCCCTGGATAAGTCATCAGCAATTACATTTTGCCTTCCAGGGATATGTCTAATTACTATGTTGAATTCTTGTAAAATCAAAGACCACCTAAGAACTCTTTGGTTCTTACATTTCATGGAGTTAATGAATGTCAGGGGATTATGATCTGTGTATATGACAACTTGATTACCTGACAGGTATGTTTCAAATTTCTTAACTGCCAAAATCAAACAAAGAACTTTCTTCTCTACCACAGAATAACTAGTTTGTGCCTTATCAAATTTAAGAGAAAAATAGTATACATGGTGTTCTAAACCATCTGGTCCTACCTGGGAAAGAACCGCACCTGCTCTTAGATCCGAAGCGTCTATGTGCATTATAAATGGGTTATCAAATTGTGGACTGGCTAATACAGGTGACGTTGAGAGAATTCCTTTCAACTTCTGAAAAGTGTTCTGACACTCCTGTGTCCACTTGAACTTTACAGGCTTTCTAAAAAGATTAGTTATAGGTGCAGCCACAATGGAAAAGTTCTTACAATATCTTCTATAATATGCACACATCCCAATAAACCTCTGCACAGATTTCTTGTTCGTTAGTACTGGGTAATCCACGATTGCCTGGATCTTGTCTTGCAACGGGACTATCTTACCTTGTCCGACCTCATGTCCCAAGTAAATTATTGTTCCCTTAGCCCAAATACATTTATTTACATTTACAGTTAGATTAGCATGTCGTAACACTGCAAACAATTGTTTCAAACTAGAAATATGGTCTTCCCAACACTTACTAAAAATCACAATATCATCTAAGTATGCTCTACAATCTGGCACATCTTTTAGCTAAGAGTTCATCAACTTTTGAAAAGTTGCTGGGGCATTTCTCAGTCCAAATGGCATCACATTAAATTCAAATACTCCATCAGTGGTGATAAAAGCTGTCACTTCTTTAGCAAAGTTAATAAGTGGTATCTGGTGATACCCCTTAGATAAGTCTAGTTTTGATACATATTTAGTATGACCAATCTGATCAATGCAGTTTTCTAACAAAGGTAGTGGGTATACATCGACTACAGTTACCTTGTTTAATTTCCTATAGTCCACTACTAACCCCCATTTTCCATCTGGTTTTGGTACCACTAAAAACGATGAACTCCAAGTGCTCTGACTGGGGCGAATGAAACCATGGTGAAGAAGATAATCAACTTCCTCCTGGATGATACGTCGTTTCTAGGGGGTCACTCGATAAGGGTGTAGCCGAAGTGGAGTTACCTCTGTCAGTTGAACATCATGAGTAATGAGAGGTGTCTGAGTGGGGACCTCCCCAAACAAGTTGGAGAACGTCTTCAAAAGGTCCTGGAACTTTGCTCTCTGCTCATCCTGCAAATGACACAACAATTCTTCTCCGGAACTGGAATTAGATAGAAGAGGATTACCATCTTCCCCTACAACAATTGTCTCCTCAGGGTTTACCTCCTCATTAACACAACAAGCCACAATACTGGGCCCACAATAAGCCTTCAAACGATTCACATGCACAATCATTGACTGACGGGTATGTTTGGGGTTACAGACTTTATAGGTAAGTTCACCGAAACGTTTTACCACTCGATAAGGTCCTCCAAACTTGTGTGACATACAAGTTCCCATACGAGGCTTCAAGACCATTACTAAATCTCCTGATTCAAAAACGCTTTGAACTTTTGCCTTGAACCGCTTATCATGCGCCTCCTTCATTACCTGTTGTGCCTCGCCCAGATGTAATGCCAACTCCTTCGTTCGAGACAGCTTGCTCTTCACATCCTTCAGGTATCTTTCACTCTGCCTAGCTGTTACATCTCCCAACATTTTCTCTTGCAACATTTTTAAGGGTCCCCTCACCTGATGTCCAAACACAAGATCAAGTGGGGAGCAGCCTAGGGCAGTGTGCAACCCGTCCCTGCAGCAAATAGTACAAATGGTAAATTGTCATCCCAATGTCTGGGTGAATCTTCCTCGGTTGTTTTATAGGATAGTAAACAAACATATTTCCTGATTTAGTTCGAGGTAAGGGGCCGACACAATCCAACACCACACGTGTAAAAGGCTCCTCTGGCACTACTATAGGGTGTAAGGGTGCTCGTGGAATAGTCTGGTTAGGTTTGTCAACAGCTTGACATACAACGCAATTGTGACAATATCTGACCACATATTTTTTGAGTTTTGGCCAAAAGAAAAACATACATACTTTATGATACATATTGGAGATCCTTCGGTGACCTCCCATAAGGTCATCATGGGCAGCTTGCAATACCTGCTCTCTATACTCCTTGGGTACGACGAGCTGGGTCCTAGACTCACAATCATCTGATAAGGGAGTTCCTGGTGGCATCCATCGTCTCATCAAACATCGATCATTGAAGTAGTGACCCGTGCTCTCATCCAAGGTATCAATACTGTCAGCTGCTTCTGTATGACATTCAACTAGACTGGGATCAGTACTCTGCAACTCAATCAAGGTTTGGGAGTGCGAGCGAGCGGGCAAGGAACTGGTACCTGAGCCACCTCTTCCAGACCATCCTTTGGGTCAGAATAAATTAGGGCTTTGGCACCAGCCTCACTCTCGACATCCGCGCGAGCTAAGAATGTATCCTCAAGGTCCACCTCCACCTTCCTGTCTGAAGGGGTCCTGGCCTCGAAAACATCCACCTTGGAAGTCACAGGATTTACCTCACCCTGCTTACCCATGGATCTGGTTACAACACAGGCTGGATAAATGTCACCATCATCCGCATCCGGTTGAGCCAGCACACAACTAGGGTTAGTAAACATGATAAGACAATCTGTCCCAATAACTTGACACTTGTCAATAACATTACCCACAATAACATCAACCCCAGGGATGGGCAACTGCTCACTAACTGCTACAGTGCACCAACCCGGTGTAATAGTTGACTTCAGGTGAATTTTAATTAATGGTACACGCTGGACATGACCTCCAATACCTTGCAATAATATTACTTCACCAGTGTCTTCTGTGCTAACATCACCAAGAGCACGGTGAGAGATTAGAGATTGGGAAGCACCAGTGTCCCTCAATAACTGCACTGGCTTCCAGCTTCCAATTGTACAAAGTAAGGTACCCGAATATAGGTACGATTTAAAGTTAGTCATCCAATTGGGCATGACTGGAACAACATTAGAATTAATTGTTTGCAACCCCCGTCTCATAAACAGATGAGATGTTGTCTCAGTTGAGGTGTTGTCTCAGTGTCACCCCCTGAAGTGTTGTCTCAGTGTCACCCTAACATGTTGTCTCAGTGTCACCCCCTGTAGTGTTGTCTCAGTGTCACCCCCTGTAGTGTTGTCTCAGTGTCACCCCTAACATGTTGTCTCAGTGACACCCTTGAGATGTTGTCTAGATGACATACCTGAGGTGTTGTCTCAGTGTCACACCTGAGGTGTTGTCTCATTGCAACCCCTGAGGTGTTGTCTCAGTGTCACAGCTGAGGTGTTGTCTCAGTGTCACGGCTGAGATGTTGTCCAAGTGACACCCAGGAGGTGTTGTCTCAGTGTCACCCCCTGAGGTGTTGCCTCAGGGGTGGCAACAAAGATCAATCAATCAACAATCCAATCAACAAAGGGAGGTGTTGTCTCAGTGACACTCCTGAGGTGTTGTCTCAGTGTCACCTCCTGAGGTGTTGTCTCAGTGTCACCCCCTAAAGTGTTGTCTCAGTGTCACGGCTGAGATGTTGTCCAAGTGACACCCAGGAGGTGTTTTCTCAGTGTCACACCTGAAATGTTGTCTCTGTGTCACCCCTGAGGTGTTGCCTCAATGTTACACAAGAGGTGTACTCTCATTGCAACCCCTGAAGTGTTGTATCAGTAACACCCCTAAGGTGTTGCCTCTGTGCCTACTGGGGTGTTTACTCACTGTCATCACTGAGGTGTTGTCTCAATGTTACACAAGAGGATTTGTCTCAGTGTCACCCCTAAAGTGTTGTCTCAGTGTCACCCCTGAGGTGCTGCCTCAGTGTCACCCCCTGAGGTGTTGCCTCAGGGGGTGGCAACAAAGATCAATCAATCAACAATCAATCAGATTGTCAACCCCTGATGGGGTGTTGTTGGAGTGTCTCCCCTGAGGTGTCGTATCCGTGTCAACCCTGAGGTATTGTCTCAGTGTCACACATGAAGTGTTGTCTCAGTGTCACCCCTGAGGTGTTGTCTCAGTGTCACCCCTGAGGTGTTGTCTCAGTGTCACCCCTGAGGTGTTGTCTCAGTGTCACCCCTGAGGTGTTGTCTCAGTGTCACCCCTGAGGTGTTGTCTCAGTGTCACCCCTGAGGTGTTGTCTCAGTGTCACCCCTGAGGTGTTGTCTCAGTGTCACCCCTGAGGTGTTGTCTCAGTGTCACCCCTGAGGTGTTGTCTCAGTGTCACCCCTGAGGTGTTGTCTCAGTGTCAGGTGTTGTCTCCCCTGAGGTGTTGTCTCAGTGTCACCCCTGAGGTGTTGTCTCAGTGTCACCCCTGAGGTGTTGTCTCAGTGTCACCCCTGAGGTGTTGTCTCAGTGTCACCCCTGAGGTGTTGTCTCAGTGTCACCCCTGAGGTGTTGTCTCAGTGTCACCCCTGAGGTGTTGTCTCAGTGTCACCCCTGAGGTGTTGTCTCAGTGTCACCCCTGAGGTGTTGTCTCAGTGTCACCCCTGAGGTGTTGTCTCAGTGTCACCCCTGAGGTGTTGTCTCAGTGTCACCCCTGAGGTGTTGTCTCAGTGTCACCCCTGAGGTGTTGTCTCAGTGTCACCCCTGAGGTGTTGTCTCAGTGTCACCCCTGAGGTGTTGTCTCAGTGTCACCCCTGAGGTGTCTGTCTCAGTGTCTCAGTGTCACCCCTGAGGTGTTGTCTCAGTGTCACCCCTGAGGTGTTGTCTCAGTGTCAGTGTCCCCTGAGGTGTTGTCTCAGTGTCACCCCTGAGGTGTTGTCTCAGTGTCACCCCTGAGGTGTTGTCTCAGTGTCACCCCTGAGGTGTTGTCTCAGTGTCACCCCTGAGGTGTTGTCTCAGTGTCACCCCTGAGGTGTTGTCTCAGTGTCACCCCTGAGGTGTTGTCTCAGTGTCACCCCTGAGGTGTTGTCTCAGTGTCACCCCTGAGGTGTTGTCTCAGTGTCACCCCTGAGGTGTTGTCTCAGTGTCACCCCTGAGGTGTTGTCTCAGTGTCACCCACGTGGATTTGTTCATTTGATGCATCACGTTAGTCACTATCTTCCCTACCCTTCACCACCTTCCCTACCCTTCACCACCTTCCCTACCCTTCACCACCTTCCCTACCCTTCACCACCTTCCCTACCCTTCACCACCTTCCCTACCCTTCACCACCTTCCCTACCCTTCACCACCTTCCCTACCCTTCACCACCTTCCCTACCCTTCACCACCTTCCCTACCCTTCACCACCTTCCCTACCCTTCACCACCTTCCCTACCCTTCACCACCTTCCCTACCCTTCACCACCTTCCCTACCCTTCACCACCTTCCCTACCCTTCACCACCTTCCCTACCCTTCACCACCTTCCCTACCCTTCACCACCTTCCCTACCCTTCACCACCTTCCCTACCCTTCACCACCTTCCCTACCCTTCACCACCTTCCCTACCCTTCACCACCTTCCCTACCCTTCACCACCTTCCCTTCCCTTCACCACCTTCCTTACCCTTCACCACCTTCCCTACCCTTCACCACCTTCCCTACCCTTCACCACCTTCCCTACCCTTCACCACCTTCCCTACCCTTCACCACCTTCCCTACCCTTCACCACCTTCCCTACCCTTCACCACCTTCCCTACCCTTCACCACCTTCCCTACCCTTCACCACCTTCCCTACCCTTCACCACCTTCCCTACCCTTCACCACCTTCCCTACCCTTCACCACCTTCCCTACCCTTCACCACCTTCCCTACCCTTCACCACCTTCCCTACCCTTCACCACCTTCCCTACCCTTCACCACCTTCCCTACCCTTCGTCACCTTCCTTATCCTTCACCACCTTCCCTACACGGCATCACCTTCCCTACCCTTCTCCATCTTCCCTACCGTTCTGCACCTTCCCTACCCTTCATCACCTACCCTACTCTTCACCACCTTCCGTTCCCTTCACAATCTGTCCTACCCTTCACCACATTCCAATCCCTTCATCACCTTCCCTACCCTTCACCAAATTCCAATCCCTTCAGCACCTTCCCTACCCTTGACAATGGTCACTATACAAGTGCCATAACACAATATTCACTATACAAGTGTCACAACCCAATGGTCACTATACAAGTATCACAACACAATGGTCACTATTACAAGTGTCACAACCCAATGGTCACTATACAAGCATCACAATACATTGATCACAATACAATTGTCACAACTTAATGGTCACTATTCAAGTATCACAATACATTGATCACTATACAAATGTCACAACTTAATGGTCACTATACAAGTGTTAGATCACCATGGTCACTATACAAGTTTTAGATCACAATGGTCACTATACAATTGTCACAACACAATGGTCACTATTCAAGTATCACAATACATTGATCACTATACAAATGTCACAACTTAATGGTCACTATACAAGTGTCACAACACGATGGTTACTATACAAGTGTCACAAGCAGGTCACTAAGTTATCTGACCCTGAGGAACAAATATTGGCCCACGACCTGATCCTACATATTATTTGGTGACAATTATTGTAGTCACAATTAAATCATTATCACAGAATGCTGTTACTTGAATCCATCCATTCCAATTACCGTAACTCTAGTTCAGACCATATAATTCCTACCTGACTAAAAAAAATTTATGTTTGATATAAAAAGATGTCTCCAGGCTTCGTAATTTATTTTATAATCTACTTACAAGGACTAACTTGTGTGCTACAATGAAAGTTTTCGGTGGATCAGCCGTGGTGTGGGGTGTGGTGCTGGTCGCACTGCACATGGCGTGTATCCGTAGCCTGCATAAGGACAAACAGGAAAACAATTAGCTCTACACTGAGCTTAGTTGGGAAGTGAGCTCTAGGTCAAGCTTGTTTGATGGATCATTAGACGTGCTGACGTACATTCCGACTGTGAGTGAGTGCCGGTTCCCTCTGGTCGGTCCCTCCCTGACTGGCCTTCAGTACCAACGGTAAAACCTTGCCCTCCGCCTGTCACTCGACACAATGAGGAATGAAAAGGGTTATCAGGGTTATCACGTCCTATCAGGGTTATCACGAACCGTTAGTACTGTTATCTTCCTCTGCTGCCTACTGATAGTTATGGCTCCCTTCCTCACTCGATCATTTCTGGTCAGTGGTGACTCTCTTGATCAAGAGTCCACTGATAACAACGTCTCTCTTGATCACGTGACCACTGATAACAATACCTCTCTTGACCAAGTAGGTTGTGTAGATACTACATCCACCCACCAAGTGGTCACTAGCACCACTTCCAGTGATCAGCTTGTGGTCACCGGACAGCTCCCGGTGAGAGTCTAGTCTCTACCACAACGCAGGTATGAACTACCTCCAAGACTCCCAAAATTTAAGCGTCCATCACAGGCCCAGAGATGCCCTCGCCCTTCACAGACCACCAAGTCTTCTTCAGACCCTCAGGATAAAGCACTGAGAATATTTTACGACCAGGAGCCTCCAGAACAGTGGAAACTTCTCGCACCAGAGAAAAAGGAGTACAGAAAGCCAGTGGAGACAAAAGAGAAGGTTTCCGAGGACAACACAGGGAAGAAAGATAAGAAAGATAAACAAAATGGTGAAAAGAGAAAAGAAAAAGGGAGCCAAAATAATGACTCACAGAAACAGATGGGCAAAAATGCCAAGAAAAAGGACAAAAAATGATGAGCCAATCGCGTTATGGATCACATACGGGTCCTGTTGATTGTATCAGGTTTGGTACATGGCTCGGTGTGGTACGTGTCTCTTTGTCACAGATAGAGCGGGAGTGGTACGTGTCCTGTGTTCACGGGAGTGGTAGGTGTTCCGTTGTAACAAAAGTGATAAGTGTTCCGTTGTAACAAAAGTGATAAGTGTTCCGTTGTAGCAGGAGTGGTACGTGTCCTGTTGTCGCTGTACACTGGGCCGCGAGACACGGACTTGTGTGTGTGTGTGTGTGTACTCACCTATTTACTCACCTATTTGTGCTTGCGTGGGTTGAGCTTTGGCTCTTTGGTCCCGCCTCTCAACTGTCAATCAACTGGAGTACAGATTCCTGAGCCTACTGGGCTCTATCATATCTACATTTAAAACTGTGTATGGAGTCAGCCTCCACCACATCACTGCCTAATGCATTCCATCCGTTAACTACTCTGACACTGAAAAAGTTCCTTCTAACGTCTCTGTGGCTCATGTGGGTACTCAGTTTCCACCTGTGTCCCCTTGTTCGCGTCCCACCAGTGTTGAATAGTTCATCCTTGTTTACCCGGTCGATTCCCCTGAGGATTTTGTAGGTTGTGATCATGTCTCCCCTTACTCTTCTGTCTTCCAGTGTCGTAAGGTGCATTTCCCGCAGCCTTTCCTCGTAACTCATGCCTCTTAGTTTTGGGACTAGTCTAGTGGCATACCTTTGGACTTTTTCCAGCTTCGTCTTGTGCTTGACAAGGTACGGGCTCCATGCTGGGGCCGCATACTCCAGGATTGGTCTTACATATGTGGTGTACAAGATTCTGAATGATTCCTTACACAGGTTCCTGAACGCTGTTCTGATGTTAGCCAGCCTCACATATGCCGCAGACGTTATTCTCTTTATGTGGGCTTCAGGAGACAGGTTTGGTGTGATATCAACTTTTAGATCTTTCTCTCTGTCTGTTTCATTTCTCCTATTCTGTATCCTGTGTCTGGCCTCATGTTTCCACTGCCTAGATTCATTACATTGCATTTACTTGGGTTGAACTTCAACAGCCATTTGTTGGACCATTCATTCAATCTGTCTAGGTCATCTTGTAGCCTCCTACTATCATCCTCTGTTTCAATCCTCCTCATAATTTTTGCATCATCGGCAAACATTGAGAGAAACGATTATATACCCTCTGGGAGATCATTTATATATATCAGAAACAATATAGGTCCAAGGACTGACCCTTGCGGGACTCCACTTGTAACGTCTCGCCAATCTGAGACCTCACCCCTCACACTGACTCGTTGTCTCCTGTTGCTTACGTACTCCTTTATCAAATGGAGTACCTTCCCTTTCACTCCAGCCTGCATCTCCAGCTTTTTCACTAGCCTCTTGTGTGTTACTGTATCAAAGGCTTTCTGACAATCCAAAAATATGCAGTCTGCCCACCCTTCTCTTTCTTGCCTTATTTTTGTTGCCTGGTCGTAGAATTCAAGTAACCCTGTAAGGCAGGACCTGCCATCCCTGAACCTATGTTGATGCTGTGTTACAAAGCTCTTTCGCTCCAGATGCTCCATTAGCTTTCTTCGCACAATCTTCTCCGTCAGCTTGCAAGGTATGCAGGTTAGGGACACTGGCCTGTAGTTCAGTGCCTCCTAGTCTATCCCCTTTCTTGTATATTGGGACTACGTTAGCTGCTTTCCAAATATCTGGCAGTTCCCCTGTTGCCAGTGATTTGTTAAACACTATGGAGAGGGGTAGGTACAGTTCTTCTGCTCCTTCCTTTAGTATCCAAGGGGAGATTCCATCTGGGCCTATAGCCTTTGTCACATCCAACTCTAGTAAACACTTCCTTACTTCCCCGCTGGTAATCTCAAACTCTTCCAGTGGTTCCTGGTTAGCTATTCCCTCTCTTATCTCTGGAATTTCTCCTTGCTCTAAGGTGAAGACCTCCTGGAATTTCTTATTCAGTTCCTCACACAATTCCTTGTCGTTTGAAGTGAATTCTTCCGCCCCTATCCTTAATTTCATAACCTGTTCCTTTACTGTGGTTTTTCTCCTGATGTGGCTATGCAGCAATTTAGGCTGAGTCTTTGCCTTGCTTGCGGTGTCATTTTCGTATTGTCTTTCTGCCTCTCTTCTCATCCTGACATATTCATTCCTGGCATTCTGGTATCTTTCTCTGCTCTCCAGTGCCCTGTTACTTCTATAGTTTCTCCATGCCCTTTTACTTTGCTGCTTAGCTAGCCAACATTTCTGATTAAACCATGGGTTTCTCATCTTCATTTCACTGTTTTCCTTTTGGAATGGGACAAACTTGTTTGCTGCGTCCTTGCACTTCTGCATGATGTAGTCCATCATATCTTGGGCCGTCTTTCCCCTGAGCTCTGTTTCCCCATGCTATATCTGTTAGGAATTTTCTTATCTCCTCATAGTTTCCCTTTCGGTATTCTAACCTTTTGGTTTCGGTATCCCTCCTCGAGTTCAATAACCCATGTGTGTGTGTGTGTGTGTGTGTGTGTGTGTGTGTGTGTGTGTGTGTGTGTGTGTGTGTGTGTGTGTGTGTGTGTGTGTGTGTGTGTGTATATATAAATATATATATATATATATATATATATATATATATATATATATATATATATATATATATATATATATATATATATATATAATACACACACACACACTTTCCCATATATACGTATGTATACATATATCTATATAAATAAAAATGTATATGTTTGTTCAAAATCGCTAATCTCCAAAAGTTCTTCACCGATTGCTTTGAAATTTTCACACAACTCTCCGTTCACATCCAAGCTGAATTTTATATATATACTATATTTATGTCACGTCTGTGATGAGATTTTTTTTTTAAACTGTTTTTCCTTGTGTTTTTCATGTGAGGGAAATCTTCGAACCCTCTTTACCGAATGCTTTGAAATTTTGACACAGCGTTGCATTCGAATAGGTGCTTTTTAATATACATACTATATACATGCCTCACTTGTGACAGGAAAAAACATGTTTTTTTTTTAAACAGCGCAATCTGTTGGACGTAAGAGCAACACAAGCTGTAATCTCCGAAAGTTGTTCACCAATTGCTTTGAAATTTTGATACAACATTCCATTCGAATACACGCATGTTTTTATATACCTACTATATAGATGCCACACCTGTGACAGGTAAAAACATGCTTTTTTGGAAAAACAGCGCCATCTGTTGCATGTAATAGCAACACACACAAACACTCACTATACAAAATATGTTACAATTGTATTACAATGTTTTCGATTTCATTGATAAATTGATTTTTAATAGATATCGATTTATGCTTATTTTGATTTAACTATTTTGTGTGACATTGCATTGGAATTAAGCTGTGTTGTTTACCATTCCGTTCATTTCGTAAGTATAAGTATAGATGCCACACCTGTGACAGGTAAAAACATTCTTCTTTTAAGAAACAGCAACCTCTGTTGCACGTAAGAGCAACACACGCTATCTATATAAATATAAATGTAAATGTTCGTTTGTTCAAAATCGCTAATCTCGAGTGCTTTGAAATTTTCACACAACATTCCATTCACATTTGAGCGGGTTTAATGTACATGATATATATATGTCACGTCTGTGACAGGAAAAACGTTTTTTTTTGTTAAAGACTGTGTTTTTCATGTGAGGGAAATCTTTAAAACCTCTTTATTGATTGCCTTCACCGATTGCTTTGAAGTTTTGATACAACGTTCCATTCGAATATACGCACATGTTTGTTTATATGTACTATATATATGCCACACCTGTGACAGGTAAAAAATGTTTTTTTGAAAAACAGTACCGTCTGTGCACATAACAGCAACACATGCTATGCTCAACTTGTTAGGATTCCATTTCAATGTTTCTGATTGCATTTATAAATTGCATTTTCATATATTTCTTTTTATTTTCATTTTGATTTAAATATTTTGTGTGACAGTGTGTTGGTATTGAGCTTAACATAGCATTCATTTTGTGAGTACAGTATACCATACCATATACCTGTTTACCATACCGTTCATTTTGTGAGTACAGTATATCATACCATATACCTGTTTACCATACCGTTCATTTTGTGAGTACAGTATATTTTTTATTTTTTCATTGTATTTATTTCTTTTTTTAACAGTTTTTCTTATATTTCAGTGATGGGAACATCAGATTATTTAATGTTCCCAATTTTCTGATGGGAACATCAGATCATTTCAGAATGCATAGGATGAGGGAGTGGGAAACGGTGGGGAGGACGAGGGGACGGGGAAGTTGGGGATGGTGGGGACAAGGGGACAGGGAAATGGAGAATGATGGGGAGGCAAAGGGGATCAGGAGAGTATGGGATTAGCGGGATGATGAAGGGACGGGAAAGGGGGGAATGGTAGGGAGGACAAGTGAAGGGGTGTGGGAGATGGTTAGGAGGATGAGGGGACAGTAGAGTGGGGGATTGTAGGGACAACAAAAGAACAGGGGAGGGGGGAATGGTGGGGAGCTCGAGGGGATGAGGGGAGGGGGGAAACAAGGTAAGGTTGCTGTGGCTCAGCAACGCACATGCATTGCTGAGCTACAGCGACGCTGTGCCGGGTACAGCTAGTATATACATACATATATATATATATATATATATATATATATATATATATATATATATATATATATATATATATAGAGGGGTACCACCACT